AAAACACTCTTAGCCTCACCAGGACAGGTGGACTGGACAGCCCATGCTGCCAGGAGGAACAGCCAAAGCCCCTGGGTTAGGGGCTACACCAGCCCCCTTAAATGCCTTTTTATGGGCAGCTTGACCACTTGCCAGTAGCTGAGGGGGCAGAGGAATCACCCCTCCCTGCATCCACTGGAGGGCCCATGGGTGCCCAGCTCAGGTGCAGACACAGCTGTAGGTAGAGATGAACCTCAGCCCTTGAACCAGACTATTCCAGTGGCAACTGTGGAGTTTTGCTCGCTAAGCATCCACAGTGAGCAAGGAGGGAGCACCCAGCTTTACAGGGGTCTTTTCTTGGTTGCTCTATTAGAAATAGAAAAACTAATTCTTAAATACACTCTGGACATCAAATTGTTTGGACATGCATTATAAAAAAAAGACAATCAAACAGCTGCATTGCTTTGGCAGGGCAGCCAGCATGTCCAAACCTTGCTGGGGATGGGAGGAAAGGGGCTGCTCTCCAAAAAACCAGCAGTGCTTCCTCCTGCTGCTGCTGGTTGCAGACACGGGATTGCATCCAAGCTACTGTCTTCCAGGATAACAAGAGGGCTGCAGAGAAACGACTGCTCATCATTCTTCCCACCATGCTCAGCCGCTGCCTCATTGGCAAGGTTGGCATCACGCAGCACAATAGTGTAACAAGGCCTGCAAGCATCAGTTTAAGGATGTTTTGCCTCCTTTCTGCCAGAAGTGGAAGGTGATAAATGCAGCTATCATAGCTCAAAGCACACAGCAACTACATGCATCTTCAGCATCCTACCATGCTCCCACATAACCCATTTCCAGGGTCACCAGCATTTGCTAGCACCATAAAGCTCCTCCTGGCCACAGCCACTGAGCTGTGATATTTTCACAACAGCTTCCAGCTGTGGTTTCAACCATAAGGCAACCAAGGCACAGGGACCACAAACCAGCACAGTTGCACTCCTGGCAATGGATTTTGGACTGTTTATTACAGACTTCCAGGCTTGGATAGATTTTTTTTTTTCTTCCTCCCAAGGCATTTATCCCTCAGCTAAATGAACACAGTGTTTAGCTACTGATGTCCCACTGTGGGTAAAGACAACGTAGAGATTTACTTGCCAGCTGCTGCAGGGCAAAACATCCCAGTTTACAAGGGCAGCAGCATCCCAGGGCAGCAGCTGCAGAGCTGAAGGACAGCTGAAGGTCCAGGGAAGCAGGGGGCAGGCATCTTACCTGCTCCAAAGAGGTAAGCAGGTAAGCTCCATGCAGCCAGCAGCTGCAGGTGAGAAAGCCAAGGTATCTTGATGCAGACAGTATTGCTGTCTAATGAAAGCATCTGCCCTAGACAGCTGTTGCTGAAAACACTGCCAGGACTGCAGCACGTTTGTCTGAGCCAACTCAGCAGTCAGACTTGCTAAAGGAAGGAAGTGAATTGTAGGTTTATTTTCTTCTACATCTTAAAAAAAAACATATATACACACTTCTCTGACAACAACTGTGTCCTAAGCTTACAGTCTCCTCTGGCCTTGAGCTAAACCATATGAAAACCAAAACAAACCCAACTCTGTTCCCTATATCCACTAATTTAATATTTTCCCCACACAGGTTCTCCTGCCTTGTGCCAAATCCAAGGGCTGCACAAGGTGCCAGGACTGTCACCCACCCAGGCTCCATCACCCACAGCCTGCCCATGCTGAGTGGGCAAAGCTGAAGGATGGAGCCAATCTGGCTCAGCTGGATACCTAAGGGGGGATGATGGGGGTATCCAGCTTCCCATGGCCCCACCAGTGCCTCTCCCAGCACACCAGGTGTTCCCTCCACTGCATGAATATCCCAAAGCCTGTACCCTTTCTCCTCAAAGCAGGTGGCCAAGGAGCACCAAGCTGCTACTGCAGCACTCCAGTGTTTACATCACAGTCATTGGTTCATGGGAGGTGGGATTTTTTGCCAGTGCTTGGCCAAAACCCTGCACACAGGCTGTGGGCTGGAGATACTGCAGGGATGCTCCCAGAGAGCGAAAAAGAATGGACATATAGATGGGGCAGCATCCAGCTGGGGCAGCAAAACTGTGAGACAAAGAGCAGGCATTGAGGGAGACCAGTGGGGTGGAAGAGTAGAAAGCAAAGGGGACTGTGAGATACATGCCCAGCACAGTAGCTGCTTCCTCCAGCCACAAGAAGTCGCTCCCTTAACCACAAAAGTACAAAACTAAAAAGGGAGGGGTTTTTTCCGCTCTTCATAAGTGATGAGCCTTCCTTCCCCTGCCAGCAGATGGCTCAGAGCTGAGACCCGAGCCAGCAGAAGAAAAGTTTTGATCGAGCCACTTAACCCACTCCATGAGGCTCTGGGGAAAAGCTCTTTGGCTTTCCCAGCTCCACAGTCCTTTTAGCCACAGAAAATACCTTCCCAGGAATGTGAGATACTAGCCTGATAAACACGTTTTAAAACAAGATGGAGGTGAGTTTTAAAGCCATCCTTCCATTCAGGCTGTGTTTAAACAGCACCAGAGTGATTTGTTATGATGGGAAATTCTTATCAAGTTACTGACTCCACAGCTGTAGCTTTACAGCAGCATGAAGTCCTGCCTTCACCAATCACTTCAGCTTTTCAGCCCCAGAGAACACCTACTTGAAATGAAGAGCAGCCAGAAGAGAAATTGGGTTGCATGCTGACTCCGTTTCCAACTCAGAGCTGCATCTCAGACTGTTGATAACTGCATTTACCAGCCACAGGCCTCCCACTTCACAGCATATGGCAACTTGCAGCACAAAGAGCTGGATCCCTCGCTCTGCCTTTCCTGCAGGCAGCTGTGCTACCAAAGTGGCATGGTCAAGACAGCTGCTTGTCACCCCCATGCCATCAAGCATGGTTTAACCTCTCCACCCTGGCACCTGCCAGGCTTGACAAAGCAGACTTCCCCTTTTCCCTGAGAAACTGAAAGCAACAATGCATTTTTGGAAAGGACAGTGCAGCCAGCAGCAAGACTTCTCCTGCAGCTCACCAGAGATAAACAACAAAATCCTGCTCCCCAAAAACCTTTGAACTGATGCTTTTCTACAACAGGCTGAAGGGAGACTTCCCATCAGCTCTGCCACACACAGAAGCACACAAGATGGATAGGTGAGTGTAACCCACTGGTCTGACACGTTTGCACACACCCATACTATATCCCAATTAGCCCGGAGTCCAGACAGGATGGCACACAATTTGCAGGAAGCCAGTCAACCCAACAGCAAGGCTGTGCTCATCATGCTTTTAAGCACCTGCTTTTCAAGGCAGCACCTCAACATTTGTACACTGCTGCCACACAGCAATTTGCTCCAGGCTTGTGCTCAGGGTTCCCAGCCCCAGCATCACCCACCAAGCAGTGGGAAGAGATGATTTCACTCCCACCTCCCATTTCCACTCAGTTTTAAGCATTTTGACTGACTAGAAGTGGAATCCAGGTGTCAAACTGGCTGCACAGCCAGACCAGAGGCTGCATGGCCATGCAAGCACTGCCCTGCCCGCACTAAACTCTACTGAGAAACAAAGTCTCAGATTAAGCAATTGCCTCCCTCGCCTTCTTTTAAAGGCTCCTCATTTGCAACAAAGATCCAATGAAAGAGTAAGATAACATCCTCACCTGGCCCCATTAAACAAATCCTCTGCAATGAGAGACAGAATCTGCTCACAAGTGATTTTCTTTAGGTTTCTGTCTCCCTGCCTTTCAGCCCCAGTGGATGAAGGCAGAGGAGACTTAGGTTGCATTGCTGGGATGACACTGAAGTTGTAAGTCAGCCAGCACAAGATACCTTCTTGGGAAAGTAAATATGTATGCAAATGAAGTTCCCACAGAATTAAAACATGCTGTTTAAACCAGACAACCTCCAAGATAACTGGGGCATGCTGTGCTCCCACCTCCACAGGCAGTATCTCACTCCTCCCAGCCCACTGCCTCGTCTATCTTATCCCTGCAGAAACCTACCTCAGCCCTCTGGCACCAGGGGCCAAAACCCAAGACAAGACAACAAAGATGCCACAACTGGGCTGGAGTCCTGAGGCATCACAAGTCAACAGCCAGCAAGTGGCTCATTCCCCACCCTTCCAGACGCCTTAACCTCCTTCTACCAAGTGACCTGCAGCCCGAGGCTCCCTGAAGGTGTTTGTGTTCCTTTATTCAATCCAGCCTGCCACGAGGTCAGACAGGTGGAAAGCGCAAGGAACCTGTTACTACTGCACCTTAGCAAGAACCAGAGTAGCAATGGCTGTTTTGCTCCAGGTCTGTCAAACAGATGCATTTCCTAATGAGGAACACAGCAGGAGGACAAAGACTCAGGTTAAAAGCCAAGCCCAGACACACACCTGCTTTGTCCTAAGCCTAGGACAAGGCCAGGCCATTCCAACATTTCTCTCCCCAAGAAGGCAAGTACAGAAACCCCAAAATACTCTTTAATTGACCAAGTTCCACTTAATCTTCTCCTGAATAACTGTCAAAGGAGCCACTACTACAGCCAGGCTGTGCTGGAAAACCTAGTGATTTCAACCCCTCCCCACAATGTTTCCACTACCTGGGCTCAGACAGTGCTGGTGTTAAGACTAGTGCTCCATCCACATGCCAACCTTCATCTTGAAGTCATACTACAGCTGAAGACAGACTCAAGTATCCTTGTCTGACAGAGCAGCTCAGCCAGCACTCAGCTTGAGAAGTACATGTTCCATTGTTTTTTTTTTAATCCAGAGATAGAAGTCTCTGTGCAATCAGGAAAGGTGAAGGTCCACTCCACCATGATGGTATTTCTTGAGCTTTGCCTTATTCTCATCTGCCTGCTCTTGCACTCCAACGCCACAGGTAGAAACTGCACGAGGTCTGCCTGGAGACAGTCAAATTGTAGCATGCTAAGTAACCAGACTATACTACTGAGAGTAAGTATCAAATCCTTGGACAAACATCTTGCTGCAACCTCTCCTGCAAGTCACCCTAAGAAACACACTGGACCAAAAGGCATCACCTTGAATGGGTTTAAATGAGTTTTATTTTAGACAACCTACATGACAGATGCTCTGGTGTTGGTTTTTTTTTTTTTCTTTTTTTAAAACAATGCCTCCACTCCAAATCAGGGTCAAAATAAGTGAATGAAGCTCAAGATGACATCAGTCCAGTTGTTAGACATTGCCAATTCCTGGTGTTGTGTCGATGAAGAAGAAACAGCAGCCAGATATGAAGACAGGTGATCCAAAACCATACTGTTTGATCTGTTACTGAAATAAAGAGTACCAAGTGTTAGTTCAAAGTCACAACAGTCGGGGGAAGTTTCTGTACCTTATTTGTGTATTCCCTCATTCAATCTGAGCTGCCACAGCCAGGCAGGCAGAAAGCGCAAGGAATTTAGTTTTGCATCTTAGTGCAAACCAGAGAGCAACAGGGGAAGTGCTCATGGTCTATCAGAGGATGCTGAGCAATTCTACATCATACAGAACAACTGGCATCAGCTGCTGAGCAAGCCAGAAAAGACACTCATTCACACCCTTTTTGCTTGATTTCCTCTCCAATAACAGCACGTCCTAAACACAAACTAAAGGTTACAATGTACATGCTGTCGCTTAAAAGAGCTGAAGTGGCTTTTGCCCACTGAAGACCTTGCTACTATTCTTTTACTCCCTCTTCATAAACAGATGGGGTTATCTGAATCACATACCCAAAAGCCTTGCCCAGGGACGGGAGACAAACCCAGGCTTCTGTTCAGAGGTACCTCCCCGGTGACTGCCTGGTCCACGGTTCAGGACAGACATCACCATCACCCTCCAGGCTGCAGCTGATGGTGTCTGGGCCTACAGAAGTGTTCCTCTAGTTGGGCTACTGCTCCCACACTCCAAGTTGGTTCATCTTTACATGACTTGCATACCAGAAGGCCTGTAAGAGGCTTTACAGATAAATTTAGGTGGCTATAAAAAGGCCTCCTAAGTCCATAGTGACTGGGCAAAGCAATTGGTGATCCCACACTCCTTGCCTGCAGTGAATTCCACAGCTCTCAGAATAAGCCAAAAAATGCAAGTGTTGGGATCCAAGCACTGTTTTGTTGCAACCACATTCCACCCAGAGTAACTAAAGACAAACCAGACCACAGGAGCTGCCTGAGCCCAGGCAGCTGCAGATTCCAGATAGAACAAGGTTAAGTACTCAGTCAAGTATTACCATGTTCCCAAATTTAGGGCAGTATTTAAACAGATGGTTTCTTGCATAACAAAATAAGGGCATCAGATGCAGCAAAAGAAACATGATCATGTAAGGTACTTCAGAATGAACCTCTGCGAGAGGGATCCAAAGCAGAAGTGCTCATTTCAGAGGACAGTCTTTAACCCAATAGTTTAGAACCATTACTAGTTACACACATCTCACCAAGGCAATTGCTTCTCTGCCTCTTGGCCATAAAGTCACAGTGAATCACTGCAGTGGAACTACGTCCCCTTCCAGTATGATTCAACAAGGAAAGTTTCACCCACTTTGTGTAACACGAAGCAGCAACTAGGCCACACTTGCATCAAGTTTTTAAACTGGCAGTTACTGCTCAGATTTAACAGGGATGCACCAGAACAAGTGATGTATTGAAAGAGTTCATGATGTAGTTACGCATGTTCATCCCATTCCAGCCAGTACTTACACATTTCTCAATTTCTAAGCCATCCTTGAAGAAAATCATATATGGGGTCACACCATCCTCACGGAAATCCAGGAGAGCCACCATACCATCTGGATTCATGTTCTCTCCTACAAAGAACTTCAGAAAAACGTGTCGCTGAGACATTTAATAAGCTACTACCAGGGGAAGTGCCTTTTATACAGGCAAGCTACAATATCTATTAATTCAATTTAAAGGCCTCCCTGACCAGCTGCAGGGATTTTGCTTTCTGCAGTTTGTCCATTTTAGCACAACGTAACTTGACCTCACTGCTATGAACAGCAGAGTAAGACCAAACAGGAGCCAAAGTGATCCACCTTACAGGTCTTTAACTCCACAATTCCTAAATGGTGGTAACTCCAAATGTAGTTAACTACCAGTGTTGAAAGCTGAAATGAGATCCCCAAACTCTTAAGGGTCTTCCACTGTCCCTCCTTCCACACTCAGACCCTGATACTCTCAGAGAAGGGGAAGTTAAAGGTCCTCACAATGAGTCCTCAGAGCCTTCCCCAAACTGGTTCAGCA